TATGTGGACCACTTCCTACCAATGACGGTGGAGCAGAATCTGCTCGGTACGACCTGAAATAGATTATTCGAAAAATAGGTTATGATATATATGGTATATATCGTTCTGAACAGATCCAAGACGACAGATATAACAATCCTCTATTAACTGCAGACAGAAGCTGCTCGAATAATGACTGTTGTACAGAAGTAGGGTATGCCGTTACCTTCTCTCTGTCAATAGCGTCGTTGAACCCGGTGTCCCCAAAGAGTCTATAATGTAACTGCTAGAGAATAGTTTTCAGGTTTGGGTTAACCATAAAGGAAACCGGCCCGAAACGGCGGGGCGTCGCGCGCGAAGGAATGTAGCAGAATGCAGCAGTAGGTAAGAAATACAAGAACAAAGGTACTAATAGTAGAATTATGCCTAAAATAATGATCACATATCGATTGAGCTGTATGAGGAACGCTAGAGCTGTAATAACGGCGAATGAGTGGTCCGCGACAGCCGCGTGCGGCGAATCGACTACCCAAAATCGTTCCTTACGCCCGTCTCCCGGTTTCGGGCCCTTGAAAAAGCGATCAACTCGGCCCATCGCATAGAGTGTCAGCTTCAGCATAATACAGCTTTCACTGAGGGTGAAATACATGTTAAGGGCTGGAATTCAGAAAAATTCTTTATAGAACTATCGAAAACAATGGATACAGAGCACACAATAATGAGGTTATGCAAGACAATTGAATCGTAACAAATGAGTGAATAAGTAATAGTAAGTCCTAGAAACGCGGTTTTTCAAACAAGGAATTTCCAAAATAACGATACATACAATGCTTATTCATTATGTGGACCACTTCCTACCAATGACGGTGGAGCAGAATCTGCTCGGTACGACCTGAAATAGATTATTCGAAAAATAGGTTATGGTAAACTATTATATATCGTTTTGAACAGGTCCAAGACGACAGATTTAACAATCCTTCATTAACTGCAGACAGAAGCTGCGCGAATAATGACCGTTGTACAGACATTTCTCAAAGAAATAGTGTATTGCCGTCACCTTCACTCTGTCAATAGCGTCGTTGGACCCGGTAATTCCCAAAGAGCCTATAATGTAACTACTAGAGGGTAGTTTTTGGGTTTGGGGTGAATCATAAAGGAAACTTGCCCGAAACGGCATGTCGCGGATGCGACGGTGGCTGCTAGGCTTACCCCGCATTCAAGCCCATCCTTGCTCTGTTGCCACAGTCTCCTCCCCAGCCTCGGGATGACGGGGCGCCAGCTTTGGATTCACCGACGTTCACTTCCCCCTTCTGAGTCATTGGCGGCTATGCCAGCATTGTCATGTGGACGTCGGAGCCAGAGAACGGGACTGCGGGTCGACGAGTCAAAAGTTTGAGTGCTTGACCACCGATGTCGATTATCATGAAATTGTTGTCCATATTGGCACATGGCACGTCTTTTCCAACATGAAGTGGAACCACTCCTGTATGACATTTCATGAATCAAGTATCACGCGGCAGAAATATAGGATACCCCTCGCAAGGGCCTTCCTAGTTTCTCCATGGAATGTGGAACACAAGGAACACTTCACAGTGTTAATCATAGTCTGGTACTGGCCCCTCAACACTTATTACTACACATCAGATGCCAGGAAATGAACGTAGTCAAAAAGCTTTCCTCAGTTGGATACGTCATATAAGGAGTAGTCATTGAACACTATTGTTCTTGCTAGAATATTATGCTAGTGCGGCTGCAAAATCTCGCAAAAAAAGGTTTTATCAATAGTACCTGGAATGAAGATCCTGAACGGCACGGCTCTCCATCGATTGCGAAATGTCCTTCCTCTGACAGTGGTTCAATTCTGACTGCTTTCACAGGTATTATCTGTAATTGCTTCTCTCTAATGTCATAAACGGTTTAACAAAGAGTCATTTGTTTTTTGATGGAGTTTGCCCTCTGATGTAGTTACATGGGGTGTTGCGCAGTAGGAACGAAATTGTCGCGTCGCGGGAAGAGAGACGCCGCGCGCGAAGGAATGTAGCAGAATGCAGCAGCAAGTAAGAAATACAGGAACAAAAGAACTAACCGTAGAATCATGCCAGAAATAATAATCGCATAGCGATCTAACTGTATGAAAAATGCTAGAGCCATAATAAAGGCGAAACGAGGTTCGCGACGGCCGCGTGCGGCGAATCGATTACACAAAACCGTTCCTACTCCCGTCTCCCAGTTACATGTGATCTAATTGCAATGTGTAATCAAAGCTCATTGATTCATTTCTACGCTGTATGATCATTCAGCTAGGCTCTTTATACTTTTCAACGCAAGGTCCTCTTTTTGTAGTTTTCTCAGCTTAGACATCTTTTCCTTAGACATCTTTTCCACCAGGGTCCAGCCATTTGCTCGAAAAATGAAGATGTTATAGGATTTGCCAGTGGGGAGGTGCCTATTAGGTTGATTCATAAGTTTCTTGCCTCGTCTTTGATCCTTCCGTATTTCGTATTCCCGATGTTGGTACTTCGTCGTGCATGATGTGCACCTTAGTCTACCATTACTATTACTAATGCTCCCCCACCGTGTGTTTGCAGGTCGCAGTGCCGCACAATCTTTCTTATGACTTTTCGAGGAAGACGAACACCTGTGTTCATCTCCTCGATTACCGAAGCTGAGAAAGACGGTGCAATGGGTTGATAAAGGAGAACAGTCAGAAGCAAAGGTCGTCCTTCAAACCAAGAAAATTCCACTGCCTTCTTGATGGCCCACTTTAATCTACTGGAGAAGGGAGAGGCGATCAACGCAGCCGAAGTAGTTGCGCAACAGAGGGAACTAGAAGTTCGTGTCGATCGTACGCGTGGTCCAAACGCGGAAAACCACTTCCCATGCTACTTTAAAGCGCATATTGAGAATGCGACACAAACCGAGCTGAAGAAGTACGACTAGCTGGTAGTCTCTAAGCACCCTACGTCCGTGACCTAGCGCCTTCCAACTAATGGCTCTTCAGCCATCTGCAGCGCTTCCTATAAGGAAAAAAGTTGGAAGCATAGCATGAGGTCAGGATAGTACTCATAGACTTCTTAGCGTCCCGGCGGCCCTCGCCATTTTAAAGGCACAGGTCAGGAAACAGGTCAAGAAAAGGTGTTCCGGAGATTTGCATATAGTTTGAATTCGAAGCCCCTCCNGCCATTTTAAGAGGAGGAGATCGACAAGCTGCCTGAGAGTTGGCGTTGGGTAATGACTGGGGATGTTGCATACGTTTGATCTTTAAACTGGTTCGTTTTTAAAATATTCATCTGAAGGTCGTGGCGATGAACCTATAAATCAACCTGATAGGACACTGACTTATCCGAGCAGGCCTCTCGCAATATTTGGGAATTAGATGTGCTGCTCTTGCTCCCTATTGTTAATCATACCAATTATCGACTACAGCAAAATGAACTGGCACGGGATGAATCCGTAAAGTTCAATACTCGCCTGCATGCATGGATGAGCCAAGTGCTTGCTGCCTTCCATAAACGTGAACAAGTGCCCGATGTGTAGCCGACTCTTCACAGTATTCCAGTCAATCAGTGTCAAATACATGGTTGTCTCGTCTAAGCGAGCCGATGGCAAGAACGGAATATCAGATCCTAAAAGGTATGTCAGTTGAATGGCCGGTCCTTATGACTTGGAATACTAGTGTTTAATTTCCAATGTTGAGAATGGTTTAACTCCAAAGCTAAAAAATTCAGATTGAAAAATCACCTAAGTGACTGAGAGTGGAGACATTGGCCATCACCCAGTTCCCTTCGACTGTTTCCCATGTTTCGTCCAAAGGATGATCAAGAGGTGAAATTTTCACTAAANCGTCTAAGCGAGCCGATGGCAAGAACGGAATATCAGATCCTAAAAGGTATGTCAGTTGAATGGCCGGTCCTTGTGACTTGGATTACTGGTGTTTAAATTTTAATGTTGAGAATGATTTAACTCCAAAGCTAAAAAATTCGGATTGAAAAATCACCTAAGTGACTGAGGGTGGAGACATTGGCCATCACCCAGTTCCCTTCGACTGTTTCCCATGTTTCGTTCAAAGGATGATCAAGAGGTGGAATTTTCACTAAAGATGTGCCCTCGAGCGCTTCCTCCATTGACGAAAAGTTCGCATTCCTGTGAGGTTCATCTCCCGTTGCCTGAAAGGGATAAGCAGAAGGATCAACCCAAGCACCGTAATCTGATGGAACTGACTACTTGGACGTCACTCACTTGGTCGACATCGTTGTAATCGAAATGCCCCTCACCAAACAGCTTCCTGTCACAATTGAATCTCAGCATTGTGTTNCTGGAGGTTCTCTTGCAATTCACGGGAATGTAGGAGAGACGCGCCCTGTACGTGGCAACTTTATCAAGTTCTGAAACACCGTTTTCTCACGGGAGCCTAGCAGCAAGCCACAAATGGAGAATACTCTCTGAAACTAAGTCCAAAACTGTAGCTCTGAGTTTTTATTCAACTGAAACAGAAGCAGAGAAAACCTTCATGCGGAGCACACAGAAGACTGACCCAAATGGTCATGTGCACTGCACTATTTCAAAAGGACTACTGGAAGTGTGCTGACCGTAGTGAGCTAATAAAATGAAGTGGATGAGCTTACGTAATATTCGGAGAATGGCCTCTATGTGGAGTCGAATCATGCCAGCCCATCGGAACCGTTCGCTGCCCAAGTCTGCAATGGACACCATTAAGAAGATCTAAGGCGCGACTGTTCATCTTCTGTGGTTATAAAGAATGAGGGGGATCCTAACCCTTTTCCTGTCAAATATAACAAATCGAATTTATTCTATCATGAAATTCCCTTTTGAATGTTTTTGTTCAGCACACCTCGAGTACGCCTTCTGTTGGTAAACTTTCACCAACAAAAAGTACATGTATATCTCTCTACACAACCAAACCAAACCGCAACGCAAACCAAATCTGAAAGGAGATGGACCACCACGCGGACGCTATCAACAAAATCTTTTTTTCTGCATTATATACTATGAGGATACATTAATTTCATGGGTTATTGGACCTACGAACACAAGAAAGACTCAACAAACAGGCTCCTCACCCCACTACAACATGAAGAATTGAATTTGACTAAAAAGTAAGCGCTGCAAGCAATAAAGGCAAACTTCCCTTCGAGTAACCTCGGCATAGTAGCTAATAATCATAAAGCGTTTGTAGCTTGCGATGTTTCAGGGGGACCTACCTGATAATCCTAACGACATTCATCCTTAAAGACTTCTCACTAAGACTTCGTGCGATCTCAGAGTCTCGATGCTGTCGCGGAGAAACTTACACGCAGCGATCAGCATTTCCTTCGAATACTTGTCAAATTGCCACCGTTACAATTTGTGTCTTGCAGCGGGAAGCCCGTCCAAAGGCTGGTCGCTTCCAGTCCCTAACAGTTTGTTCTTTTAGGAATTGCAAAGAAGAGGATCTGAGAGTCGAGAAGTATGGTAAATGCCCTAGCAGCAATAGAGAAGCTACCCTATGCATTGAAGCATGGTAGTATGTAGTTGACTACCAGTGTGAAGCTTTCGCGCAATGACGTATTCACTTTGAATGGACCTACCGATATCAGCAATGAGTCCCCAGGTGGCGCTCATGAACATCGACCTTGTGCCATCGTACTGTGTTTCGACAACATACAACCTGAGGGGAAGGTAGCGAGGACGAGTTGCCATAAGACAACATTCGAGTATGAAGAGATTTCGAGGAGAAAACGGCTCACTGCAACATCATACCTTTAAACAGATTAGACACAAAATAACNGGCCCACTAGCTAAATGTGCTATTTTCTGCAAGAAGATAAATAAATCAACAACCAGGTCTCACTTGCAGGTGTAGCAGATTGCGGCAGCTAAAGCGTTGCTGGTTCCGCCAGGGATGTGGCAGATCGGAAATTTGAGTGCTCGTTCACGGTCTTTTCTCATAAGTAGACCACAGATAATCTAAAAACCGTGCATCGCAAATTAAGAAGCAAGTACGAAATTGACACCATTAGCGCTTCTTGACAGTTTCAAAAAAAAACGTCGATTCTGAAAATGAGATTTCCACTGTACAAGATCTTCCAGATAGCATCTACCGAAAATTAAACGAAAGTCAGATCTTTTTGGCAATGTTTAGGAAGTTTCCATAGAAGTACTCTCAAAGTACTCGACTCATTTGCTTGCGCTCAATACATATTTCCAGATATCTCATTATATCGCCGTTAAGGCTCACCAGACAGAGAATCTTCTTCGACCTTTTTGTTTCGAAGCATGGGTAATAGGCGTGCATGGAGGCGTATAAGAGGGACTTCAAGGCCAGATACTTAATGCAAATTTCAAAGAGCTCTGGCCTTACATGGCTCTCAAATGAAAGCTCTTGAAAATATACCAAATGAAGGGACAGTTTACCTCTTATAGGATCAAATAACGAGGAAGAGAACTCTGGATGTGGCAGGCGCGTACAAGTGGGGAAACTTAAAGAACATTTGAAGGAAATCTGGATTACTGCATTTTTTAGGAAGATACTTTCCGAGCGGCCTGATTATTTTAGGGGAATCAAGTCACAGGGAAGGATATATGCATATTAATTCACTACTAAAAATTCTAGCTTTATAATGAAACTTTTTTAAGTCAGAACTTCGTTTGCCTTCTGAAAAACCATTCTCCAAGAATTCTCCATCGGCTTCTTCACCCTGAGCAATGAACAATCCCAACTATTCAATGAGCTCTCCGTCAAACAAAGCTCGGTTCAGCATTATAGTTTTTTCTAGACTAAAATATGTACAGTACCTACTCCTAGTCTTCTCTTAGACAGTCTTCCCGGCGAAGGCGACTTTATGCCCGACAACTCTTTTCTGAGTTATAATAACTCAGACGAATTAAAATATTTCGTTGCTGTTAGCAATTGCCGGAAGTCCATACCTCAGTCACCAGTCCATCCCCACTCATCACTAAAACCGCGTCATACCGATCGATGTCCAGATCGAGCATGATTTCCGTCGCATGTTGTCGATATTCTGAAGTTTCCTTTCACATAAGTATAATTATACTCAATAAAATGGTCGCTGCCTAGGTATTAAGCGTTTTAGAATGCTTAATTTTATGACTAAAAGTCACCTGTGCGAATGATATCAGATTGTAGTGAGGCAGCTTGTAACACTTTCGCTCCATGTATTGCCCACAGTTTCTCGGCTTGTTGTTGTCCACTGAATGGATTGATCAGTACCAGCACACGATTGTTCAGCTCCTTCTTCAATAGATGTGCTGCAAGCTATTCTTTGGTCTATCCTCTCTGTTCAACTAAGATGCCCAGCTGTGCGGTAAAAGTATTGTTCGTGTTTTACTAAGAGAGTGCCAGGCCAATTTCGTTCATGTATTTGGTTGTCGGGAAAGTATTTGCGCATTTTGGTTTCCATGTTGTGAAATCTTTGGGGATTGCTCTAGAATTTTCACTGCGGAATATGCGTAAGTGCAGGTCAATGCGCTCTCCACACCATATCTGCCGTAGCATTTTGCAACGGTTATGGCTGCAAGAATCGCTCTCGACCCAAAGCGAGTCAAACTGGCTTTGCTTTATGAGTTCAGAAAAAAAACGTTAATCCAAATTGAGCGACAGGGGGAATATGCGATGCGATAGGACCACTCATTGTCTCTAATAGCGCATCAAAAAGTTGGTACAAGAAGTTCAAAAATGGCCACTTTGACTGGACCGAAGAACCACGATCTAGGAGACTAGCTGAGCTCAATGACGGTTATCTCCTGAAGCTGGTTGAAGAAGATTCCAGGTTTAGTACCCATCATCTGAAACAGGAGCTCATAGCCATCACGACACAACAGCTGTCCATTTGCATCGCCTTGGAAAGACATGGAGATTCGGAGATATGGATAAGTTGTGGTCTGGGTAGCCACCATCTCCAAATGAAGAGGGATTTGTGCCTGAATTTGATGACTTTCCGACGCATCTTTGCACGGCTGGAAGACTTAATCACTGGTAACGAGAAGTGTGTTCTCTACTTGAACCACACGAGGAAACGCCAGTGGCTTGGATGCGTAGAGCATGGAATCCCGACCTCCAGTCCAGAATTTCTACCTCAAGAGGCAATGCCAAGCGTTTGAAGCCATTCAACAGGATCGTGCACTGGGACCTTCTACCACCAAACTCCGCTATCAGCACTGAAGCCCAATGTGCTCTGTGGACCGGATTGCTGCAGCTTTAGGAGAGAAACTCGGGAAAGTCTATTTTCTCCAAGACAGTGCTTGCCCACACTTTTCGAAGGAGGCCCACAAGAAGCTTCAAAGTCTGGGATGGCATGTTCTGGCCCACCCACGGTATTCATCAGACCTAACTCCAACGGAATATCATCTGCTCCTGTCGCTGTCGAACCATCCGAAAAATAAGAAGTTCGATTATTTGAGTCAACTTGAGACGTACACTGACGAGTTTTCCTCTTCGAAACCTCAGAAATTCTAAGCAAGCAGGAACCACAAATTGTCTGATGAATGGCAATACCTTATCGATAATGATGGTGCATGTATTTGTTAATTGTTAGTTATTGTGAAGGAAAAAAATAATTTCAAAAAAAATTGCAAAAGGCGCAAAGACTTTTCCGACAACCTAATAATTTAAACAGGTGCAAAGAACTAGTAGAAGAGGGATCAGACGTTTTTCTTGTTTTACAACAAATGAGCCATAACCCTACTAAAAACAACGGATTGAAAACATAGAGTTATGGAATGGTCAGTTGGTTGCTATAATGAGGATAGAAACTATCCAAACGGCGCCAATATCTCAAAATCTATCCCCTGCTCCTGTGGCAACACTGAGAACTGTTGCTGTCCAGGCTCTGTTTACTGTTTACCCTCCGAAGTTCAGATGACTACTCACATAAACCGAAGATGTAATAGGACAGATTTGTTTGGCACCGATAAAACCCGTTTTGGGATGCGTACCAGTGTTCGACTCTCATTCAAAGTAGTAGCATTTTCAGTGAGCAAAGGCCTATTTGATTAATTTTGGTGGCCGCCTGAGGCTCATGTCAGCGTTTTTCCTTGCCCACGTGTCTAATACCGAAGGAAATGGAGCCCGACCTGACAGACAGGACCTGATTCCCCTATCACGTGTGGGAGCTAAGCGCCACTTGTCGCTGCAGCATGATTCTGTATTACAGGACTACTAAAATGTGTCAACGATACTCTTAGACAACTTCGAATCATCACTGAAAGAATTCAAGCAACTTTTTACCGACTTCGACTACAATACTAAATTTTTTCCCTGTTTATAAGTGTTTCAACCATAAAATAAGATGATAATCCTCTCGAAACATTGCCCATAAGTTCATCAGGGTGAGGAAGTGGCTTCAGAGAAACACCGCAGAAGGTCCGTCACTAGTTCACTCTGCCAACTGATTTAGAGAGCTTTTCGACAGCAGTAACCTTTACAGCACTCATTCAAAGTTTCAGCTAACTAGACTTGATCACCAAAGTCCGGACGCTTGTAAGATCAGTTTTTATTTCCTGTTGTGGTTCACCGAAAAGCGGGCGTTCAGCGCTGTTTTTCATTTTCCCTCCTTTAACTATGCTACAGAAACTACTCAGAAACAGGTGCACCTAACAGCAGGGTTTAGTCGGCCACGCGTTCCTCATGAACAAAGTCAAGAAGAAACAACATATGCCATATCAACAACTGGAAACGGCCCATAAAATCAATCTCGATTTCAGCAAGGCCAAGTATGTGTACGCCCTGTCCACCGTTCCTTCGACAAGTGTCCATGCTATTTGAGATTCGTATTGTCGGTGACACAGGAACCGCAGTGAACACTACTGATAAAGCCGACGAAGAATCGAGTAGGAGTGTGATAGATGTCTTCTGCGATAAGGAAATTTCGATTCATTTGAAGTCCAAATTCCGCGTGTCAGGAGACCGGCCGTCATTTTATAGAGAAACCAAAATAGACTTCTTAGAAACCAACTTCTGAGGGAGCAAAGGCCAACGTAGTTAGCGGAGATAACGATGCTCCCACGAGAAATACCCTTAAAATTATCGCATTCGAAAGAAAACTGAACCTGGAGCCGAGAATATGCTGGGAAAAGACTTCGATACCAAGGTTATCTTAAAGGCACTGTTCGCGATAATCCAATGGGCGGGCACGTCAATGACGTGTCCGCCTCTCATTCGACGCCACGTCAGACTGTCTGACGTGACATCGAATGAGAGGAGGACACGTCATCGACACACCCGCCCATTTAATCATCGCGAACAGTGCCTTTAATGCAAACCAAGAAGTCACGGAAGATCATTCGAATTTTTTGCATATGCACAAAGTTGATTATTGCCCAGTTCAAATGAAACAAATGGAGATGGTTCTGGAAAACCCACATTACAGTAGTAACTTTCAATAACTGATAATAAGGTTTAACCAGCGGACGAGACCGAATCATAACTATTCAGAAGTCGCCGTACTGTCCACTTTCAAGAGGAATTGCTTGGCATTGGGATGCACACAATGCCCATGCACTAGCATGGTGGAAGTGTGGATGCAAGTGTTGTCAGTCCCGTGAACAGGCCGAATTCGAACCAAGTGGCTTTCGTAGAAGGGAAGGTTAAACCGGTCTTAGCAATAATGGTACAAGATACTTGGCTTGTTATAGCGGGCTACCTAACCCCAGGCGGCTATTCAATATTAACACGAATCTGGTTAAATAATGAATTAGGAGTGAGTAAATTAGACCATCAAGGGTTTGTAAAATATCATAATCACTCACGAGGATGTCTTCTGGTTAGCCGGTTTTGGAGAGTGTGGCGAAAACGCTGAGCCTCATTCAATGAGCTGAAGTTCACTCTTTGAGGTCGGTAGGTTCTTCGATTCTTCACCAGCGGAAAATTTTCAACAACTACCGAACTTGTCGAGGCATTGTCTTCTGAAATATGTTGAATCAAGAAAATTCTGTGAGAATTTCCACAAAAATTTCCAATTCGCAGTGAAAGAGTACGCTAATTTTTGAAAATAATACATGCAATCGTAAGATACCGTGCTCGATTCGAACTCCGACAATATCATCGATTGAAATTGATGGCTTCCCTTCAATGAGCACCTCATTTTCTGTTATAGACATTTATGAATTGCTCTGAAAATTAAACCGAAATAATAGGACGATTTCTAAGAGCGATACTAAATCAGAAAATTCGAGTACAAATTATCGGAGAGAAACGAGAGTTAGCAAAGTTGGAAAGAGTTTTTCGTATAGCTATCGAGTAGATCAAACTCTTCAAAATGACCTGCCCTTCAGCTCCACCGTTGATGCTATTCGGAGAAAGACTTCAGATTTCACTTAAAGACTTCCAGTCGAATATCAAGAGGGGATAACTACACTTTGCATCGAAGGTGAGTTGCTGTAATTGTTCAGGTTAGGCGGAGGTGATGTAGTGGCAGGTGGCACACTTAGACACACACATGGTCACGGGTTCGAATTCTAGATCGATACACGCCTAGGCCAACTAAGCCTTCCATCCCTACGGGGTCGGTTAGTTGGTACCAGACTCGTCTGGGAGGATAAAAGTACTGTCCTGAACACGGGTAGCCATGGCAAGTCACTGAATATGTAGGCCTTATACGCATTCAATTTGCCGCTACGATCCTGAATGGAAGTCGAATGCGTGGCGCATCCCTCAGACGGGATTGCTTGACGTCCCAACACCTTATACTTTCTTGATTTCCCTCAAAAGGACCCCATAACGAGATGACAAGAGCTAATGGGAAATGAGGACTTGAGAAAAGGTGAAGCGAAACTGCTCAGTAGAGCTTTTATTTTCGAGCTAGGATGAAAGATGATATGATTGTGTTCTTGGACTTACCCCGTTGTTTTTCTGAAAAACCCCGAGTTTCAGCTTTCATGCTTATGTTTGTTGAAACTTAAACGACTGACCCACTTGATGGGGACCTCCTCAAAAATGACAAATCAGATTTTTCAGGCCATAGATTTATTGTGAGGTAGTCATATGCATAACTTAAAAAATAGCAGATCCTAATGGCGTCTGCTTCACATGATGATACAAAAAAAGGACTTAGAGCAAGCTTACAGTTTCATATACGAGGGTTGCCTTTTATATTTCGGGATTTGGAAACACCAGTTTAGCAATCTAGGAACTGACACCACTATCGTAAAGTTTGACTATTTTGAGGTTCCGTTGCAAAATTTGAGCGCGATTTGTGTTGTTTACACTAAATTATAAGATTTTGTTTCGGCCAAGTTATGGGTTTATCGATGGCACAGTGAGTTCACCCGAAGTCGTAGTTCACTCGGAGACGATTTTCGTGGAGGTCGTCCAAAATCAGTTGTCGTTCCGGAAACAATTCATGCTGTGCACAAACTAAAGGTGCAAGATCGTCATG